AATTCGACTGATCTCATTATCAATTCGACTGATCTCATTACTCAGTTTTAACATTAGATAGTAGTCTCATACTGTCTCAGTGAGACTTACTGTCTACTCTTATCACATTTTTCAAATGAGATCATGATTTTCACTTCTCAATTTAAATTATTTTTATTACTTTAAATGACTTTAAATCTCATTTGAGTGTTATCAAAAAGTGTTACTTTTTAAAAAATTAAAAATAGTCTAAAAAAAACCTTAAAATAACTAAAAATAGTAACTTTATGCTAAGAATGAGACTAAATGAGATTAAATGAGATCACTTTCTTATTTTTTTCAAGTCATGATTTCATTTTAAGATCTGATATATAGTCACTTTGCATGTTTTTTTAATGACTAGTCTCAGCAGGATTCACATCAAGAAATGTATGAGATCAGATCAAATGAGATCAAATGTGAAATTCATAGTCTCAGCAGCCAGTCTATCTCTGACTATATAATAGAAGAAGTGATATTATAATATAATAATGAAAATATTCTACAATCATGTGTTTTCATATCTAAGAAACTGAGTCTCACTGAATGCAATTATGAGATCTATGATAAGAAACTTCTTATAATTGTACACTGTTTAAAAGAATGAGACTCTGAACTTTGAAGTATCTCTGAATTTGAGATAGTTATAGATTATAAGAATCTTAAATACTTTATAACTATCTGTAAACTCACTGAATGACAGATATAATAATCTGAGTTCTTAAGCTACTTTTATTTTACAATACACTACTGTTCTGACAGTCAGAACTTGATGATAGATGCTCTCTCATAATAAGAGTAAGATATATCATTCAATATAACAGATACTTACTGAATGAACTGAGAGTATCAGCTCTTGAATCTGAAGATACTAGTTAATTAAGATGAAACAGCTCACAGCACTATACATGCTTCTTCAATTAGAACTATCACTGATATCTTAACTTCTTCTGAATCTATATTAAATAAGCTATAACATACAGCAGCTCAAACTGATAAACTTCTTTAAACACTCACTGAAGCAGTATGTCAAGAAGTACTCTGATTTTTCTCAGAACTATGTATAAGAACTGATATCTCAGAATATTTAATTAATAATAATAATACTTTATAATTTTATAAATAACACTGAGTTTCTCACTCTGAACTCTTACACATTCAGATAATATAAGAGATATATAATTTATATATAACTGATTATTCAGACTGTAAATAACTATATAGAATGATCTTCTGAGAGTTCTACTAATCTGAGATATTAAACAGTATCAGATACTTTATCTGAAACTGTAATTACTGTTCTTCTGTTATTTTATGAAAGAACTGTAGAAAAGATCTATTAAAATCACTTAATATTTCTGATAGAATCTGATAAGATATAGTAATTAACTTCACTATTAATCTATCTAAGAGTAAGAGTTATAGAAATATTCTGATTATTATGAATTAATTGAGTAAAGATATAATATTGAAATCTTGTAATAAGATAAATACTGAATAAGTTACTGAAGCTTTTCTACAGAGCTCATTCTATCAGATATATGAATTATTAAGATCTATAGTATCAGATCAAAGCTGTTAATTTATAAGTACTCTCTGAATAAGAATCTGTCAAGTTCTTAAGATTATACACTGTTCATTAACTATCTATCACTCTGAGACTGATGATGCATTAGAATAGATAATTTAGATTATAAAGAATTATCTTTATAAGTTCTATAATTATTTATAAGATAATTAGTATAATCTTCTTCTACATGCAAAGATTACTATCAATAATCAAGATACTCTTTTAACAGATATAAGTCTGTTCTTTCTTATATATAGTTATCATATGAAGATATTAAATCTTCTAGAGATTATACAGTTTACACTGAATCTCTGCAGTCTGATTCAGATCACTGATAATATAATAACAAAGCTCTGAGATATCTGTAATTAAGCAGAGATCTTTATAACAACTGTAAAACAAGATCAAGAGAATTAAATCAATGTTTATCAAGACTCTGTTAAATAATATAAGATAGAAGATCTGATATGATTGAATCTTAAGAATATATAAATCATATATTCATCTTATACACTAGATTACTGTTATATCAGATATAAAGTGATAGAAGTTCTAGATAGTTACAACTACTATTTTAACACATTATTAGAAATTCATAATATATTTCATATAAGCTTGCTATGCTGTGTTATTATCAATTCATTTCTCTCTCAGCTGACTTCTGACTGACAGTCATCAGACATTATAGAAGAAGATAATAAGGTTGAGTGAGAGATTGAGAATATTCTTGATAAGAGACTCTGCAGCTGCAGCTGATAATATCTTATAAAATGAGTCAGTAATAATTAACTGATCTGAACTCTCAGTTTCATATTATCTGAAACAGCAGCTCTTAACTAATGAGAACTGCTTCTGAAAGAGAGAGACTAATATGACAAGCTGTGTCTAATCAATTATATAGACTATTCTGTTACACTTCATAGATTCTTTCATTTCACTCTTAAATATATACACTCTGATTCTCAGTCATTTCTGATCATTAATTCTCAGCTGTCATGAATGTATATGTTCTGATCACTGATTCTCGGCTGCTATGAACACACATATATTCTTCCACTCTGAAGCTTCATCACATACGTCATCACATATGTGTATAAATATTCATCTCAATTACTGATTCTCACACTTTCTCTTTCTTTTCTTCTCTAATGTTTTTCTCTTTGTTATATAACATCTATATATTATACTGATCTATTCAGTGTAGACTTCTTACACTATATTACAAGCTTTTTAAGAACTTATTCTGAATTAAATGAATATAGACTAGTAGTAGTAAATACATATATAATATTTAAAGATATAACTATCTTCTTTCATACAGTATTAAATAGCTCTTAAAAAGGTCTCTTTGTAGTGTGTATAAAGCTTATTTCAGTTCTCATTTATTTATTCAGTTGATTAAAGTATGATTTACTCAATGATTTAAATATTTCAATATTTAGTAACTGTAATCAGTGTGTAGAATAAGAAGAAAAAATAGTAAGTAGAATCTGATAATAATCTATATAATAAATAAATACTATATTAATATAAGAGAAGTGATTATCTAATATAAGAAGTTTATATTCATATTCTACTTTCTTTTTTATAAGAGGTTCAAAGATCTTCTTTAATTATATTAATTTATATTTATTATTACTTTACTCATTTTCTAAAGCAGTAAAGTAAACCTGATTCTTTTTACTATTAAAATTCTTCAGTTAAGTATCTTGTATATCTCTTGATTCTTCTTAATATATAAGAGCAGATGAGAGTGAAGTTTCATCTATATAAATTAAGATAAATAGTGTTATGAATTCTTAACTGTCATTCTGACTTACATCTATTATATAATCTAATTTAAGTAAAGTAATTAATATAATATATTTAAGAGTGTGAATGAGTTCTAATAGAAATTCTTTCTCATCAAAGTTGTAAATATTCACAGATTCAATGTTATATTAAGTGATTTTTACCTGTAGCTATAAATTAATTAGCAAGAAGTAAAAAATCAGTAGAAGAAAGAAATCAGTAAAAGAAAGAAATTAGTAGAAGAAAGAAATCAATAGAAGAAAGAAATCAGTAAAAGAAAGAAATCTATTATAAGATTAAAATAATACTTAAAATATATTGAATTCTCTGCAATCTTGCATTTTTAATTAATATTTCAAAGATAGACTGACTGTGTAACTGTGTCTAAGATCAGAATCAGAATATTTAATAATCTTATTATTAATTTAACTAATCTTATTACACTATTTTAACATTAAATAGTAGTCTTATACTGTCTCAGTGAAACTTACTATCTACTCTTATTATATTTTTCAAATAAGATCATGATTTTCACTTCTCAATTTAAATTATTTTTATTACTTTAAATGACTTTAAATCTTATTTAAGTGTTATCAAAAAGTATTACTTTTTAAAAAAATAAAAACAGTCTAAAAAAAACCTTAAAATGTCTAAAAATAGTAACTTTATATTAAGAATGAAACTAAATAAAATTAAATAAGATCACTTTCTTATTTTTTCTAAGTTATGATTTTATTTTAAGATCTGATATATAGTTACTTTGCATGTTTTTTTAATAATTAGTCTCAGCAGAATTCACATCAAGAAATGTATGAGATCAGATTAAATGAGACTAAATGTGAAATTCATGATCTCAGCGGCCAGTCTATTCAAAGATAGAGTGACTTGATTACATTCTTATAATACTGATAGAATCATAACACTCAGTTGATTTTAATAGATGCTTTTAGAATCTCAACAATGAGATTATAAAGGATTTGAGATATGCAAGGAAAACTGCAATCTGTCAATCAATTGATATGAAAAAGAAGTCATTCTTCTTATGAATCTGAGAGATTTTTACAGTGAATAGAGCTTGTTTTCTTTCTTAATGTTTGAACACCTCTATAACACTGTGATAATATATATTGACTGATTCCATATTTTTTAGCAGTCTCAGTGTAATTAGGAATCAATTGTGGTGTTCAAATCATCAATTGCTGCTTGTATAACTGCTTCATGGTGCATGTTGTGAGTGTTTGAAGATGGATGAAAAAATGAAGATTGGGCGGGCGTTGGGTGTACGCGGGCGTTGGGTGGTTGATTACGTTATCACTAGAAAAACGAACATATGTAACTTCGGATAACCTCCAATCCAAGCATCGTGATCATTTAAATGCCTCGGTGGGACGTCAATCGATAACTACATGGTTCACTGTGTAAACTGATAGAGGTCGACTAGCTAAAAAGAGGCGTAGATAGGGTGTCGCTAGCTGCTAGGCTACTAACCGTGCCATGCTTACTCACTCTCTGTAGTGACACTACAGAGAGTGAGTAAGCATGGCACGGTTAGGTACTAGATTCTTGCTCTTCCCGCCTGCTATATAGCCTTCTAGACATGGATACTAATAATACTTCTTTTTGCATTGTTGGGCCTTTTCTACCCTGCTTGGAGAGCTTGGCCTATCTACAAACTGCGCTTAAAATCAGGCAACACCCACTTGACCATCCACTCTGACTTGAGGACCTCTTCGGCTGTTGGTCGCTCTTCTGGCTGGAATGCCAGCATTTGACGCATCAATTCTAGGAGAGCAACCGTTTCCTCCCGACCAAACTCACCTACTCGACGCTTCCATCGATACTTCTGCACGCCTTCCTCAAATGCTTCATCAATTGGAGGCCACACATCCCGGCATTCTTTCGGACGTCCATCCTGGTTGAAGAATTGACTCCGTTCGTCCCATCGCTCCCACCACTTTGAGGGAATTGGTCCCAGCACATCAATTTGCTGAGAGATTATGTCATCCACAGTCGCGAATTCGCTACTGAAAATGGCCTTCATGCCAAGAATCTCCCAGATTGTTATGGCCAGGCTCCAAATGTCTGCTGAAAATGACAGCGGGGCATGCGGCTCGAATCGGGCTTCTGGGGCCCGCATAGCCAACGGCGTGTGGCAGTCTTCCCCGCGACGAACCTCCAAGGCTGGGGCAAATGCCTCGCCAAAGTCACTAAGAAGCACACGCGCGTCAGACAGTGAGAATTCTTCTGCATTTTTCCCAAGGCGGAGTGGGATCACTGCCTTTGCTGGAACACTGGGTGGAAGCGATTTGCCATTGCACTCCATAATGGGGACTGTCTCAGGCTTGTCATATTCTTCATATAACTGTTCGATCGAGAGCTGATCGAAACTTGATGAGAGTTTAACTAAGATGTTGCGAAGGTGGATATCTAAATAAAGATGAATATTAGCTGAGGAGGATTCAGGCACAAAAATTATGACAATGACAAACCTCCATGGACATAGCCTCGTGAATGCAAATATGCAATAGCTACTGCGAGGCCACCCGACAGCGCCCGCGTAACTTCAAGAGGAAACAGGCGGCTAAAAGAGACCTCTCTGAGATTGCATCGTGCGGGGGTCATTGTGTAGCATGGATGAGTTCCATTGGGACCGTGTAGCTTGAATTCATCTAGGATGAAAGGAATTGAATTGCGCCCTGGATGTAGGAACGAAGACAACGGTAGTGGCGCGGAAAGAGCTTGCAGGATCTTAGTCTCATGCGGAAGCGAGTTTGCTATGCCAACTTTGACAGCAACGTAGCGCTTCAGATGAGTGTCTTGGGCTAGCCAAACAGTTGAATAGCCTCCGAAACCCAGCTTGTCCACGATGCGGTATCGCTCGTGTAGCATATCCCCAATCATGATAGGATGATAACCCCCAGGTTTGTACCTTTTGAGTGACTCTGCACCGTCGATCCAGTTGTAGGCGAAGCGATGCTCCCTTCCATCTTCTTCCCCGCGCGACATTACCGTTGATGAATAAGAAGATGAGAAGCTCAACTCAACCTTCCGAGAGCGGCAAATGGATGGTGGACGTGACAATGGAGTCGAGAGTTGAAGGGACTTCGATGCCCAGAAAACAAGGATAGAAGAAGCGGTTCTTTTAGAGTAACATGCCATGATAAGTCGAAGTGGTGATGGGTGGATGGTGAACAGGGCCAGTACTTTCCCCCGCTCTTTACAGGGTAAAGATAAAAATATAAGAAGAGCGCGATGGCCCTCTCTTCATAATCCCTACAATCAAATATAAAACATTTGGACTCTTGCTAGTGGTGTCTGCTCCTACATTGTTGCTTCTTGAAAATATGGCTACTAGAGGGGGCGCCAAGTTTGTCAGATACTTTTTCTATGCCGGCAACACGATCAGTTCAAGTCAAAAAAAAACTCTGGTCGCCCTGGCCTATGCGACAGCTCGAGACCAAAAACTTGCTCCTAAGGCGATTCTCATTCGGTTAGTCCTGCTCAGCTTCTTGCAAGTCCTTGAGAGTGTGTTTCTATGTTCCTGCCTTCCTTACCTCTTGGCCATAGACACTAGTTATATATTGTCGAGTGCTAACTAGACCATGACTCAGATCCGACATGTCAAAGACCCCAAAGGCTGGCATGGCACCTTCGCCTTCAAAGCCGACGATCAGGTGGAGCGGGAATTCCATGTGGCATCGCATGGGTACACGAATGACAAAGAGGACTTCGTTCTAAACGAGGCAACACATACTCCAGAGAAGGAGGACAAAACTCCTCGGGGTGGAAGGGGATCTGGAAAGGTTGTTTGGCCAGCTGAGGACCTACTTGAAGAATATGTGGACAGTCCCATTGGTTACTCGCACCTACCCGAGCAGAATTAAGAGCCAGGAAGGAGGCAATGAGCATTGTTATACATTCCATTTTGGCACAAAGTGGGCACTGTTTAATGTGTTGGTTTTGTTCATATTACTTTCAAATCCGGACACTTAATGTAGCGAAAATATGTTGTCATAATCCTAAAACTATCTTTTTATTTGTGGAGGACTCGCCATGAAGGCAATCATACGAATTTTGATATTTGCGGCGATGACGGATGCGACTCGCATAGCCTAGGCCGGTATGGAAACATATACTGCGTCTGGATATGGAAGGGCTGGATGCGTCTTCTAAATCCACCGGCTTATACAGGCCGACGAAAGCTGACAATGCTTCAGTTTAAACGCCGAGTAATCTTGTTCCCAACTATATCACCCACCCTTGATTTTTGAGGTTACTGTTCAGAATCTGGGTTTCATCTTCCACATCTTTGTTTGCAGCAGCAAAGCTTCATTGTATATCCTCAGTTTCATCAGTCACAGTTGAAATATCAGAATCATCTAATGTAGCAGCTATGTCAGAGTTCATCTGATACTGAGATGCAGAATGATATTGAGACTTAGTTTCTGAGAATCTTTCATTTATCACTCTAATAACTTCAGTCCTCTTTTTCTTTACTCAATCTCAGACATTTCTGTATATCAACACTTCTTGCTGAAAAGTTTTCAAATTATCAGTCATACTCTATATATTGAGCTGAGTTATAATATACTCAGAGTGATAATCTGAGCTGCTGAGCTTTATTATTATTATTATTATTCTTCAATTATAGATGTATGTAGTCAGAGACTATGACATCTACCTAAGAACTTTTAGTTCTCAGAGTTTTTCCTATATCTGTAAAGTTAACTATTATACATTCATTAATTTCAGATATATAAAATCAGAAAATTCCAGCTTAGAATACAAAAACTGTTTATAAATTGCAGTATTTTAACATCTTCTGATACTTTGAAATTATTTGATAATATCATGACAAAGGAAAAGAGAACAAGAACACAGTCTCAAAGATAGACATATTAAATAAATAGATAGAAAGAAATTGAAAGAAAAAGATAAAGAAAAAGATAAAGTAAAGAGACTACAGAACAAGATCTCTACAGTTTATATCTTAAGCTATATACATATTTTAACACTCTATATAATCAATCACTGCCTCTGTTCTCTCAGACCTGCTTCAGAGATTATCATTTTCTCTAAAGAGCTGTCACTTAGCTAGCTTCTATAACTAGCTTACTTATAAGTGAGATTCTCACTAAGAATAATATCAGAGCTATTTAATTCTAGTTAAGTCTCTAATCTTTCAGCTATTAATCTCAGTATTTCAGTCTATCAATTGACTGTCACAGTCTTGCTTATACTAATCATCTATTAAGAGTATCTAGATCTCATCTTATCTAGATTCTTACTAGGCTCAGAGTGTTCTAATTAAATAGTTTTTAAATCTCATTCTCTGAAAGTAAGTGTTTAGAGTGAGAAGAATGAGATCTGATCAGTTAAGCTTGATAATGATTCACTATTCTGCAGATACTTTAAATCTCAATTACTCTAGTACTGATCTAACTTGAAGCATCTGAGAAGCTGTTAATTCTAAGATTAGTGAGAATTAGTGTCTGAGAATCTCTGAAATGAACATCTTAAGCTTGATGATGATTCACTATAGTGCATTTAAAAGCTCTCAGTACTGTTTTATAACTTAACAGTGAAAGCTGTGATTAAAATAACTCTTATAGAGTTCAAACCTGCCCTCTCTTAGCATTCATTCCCTGGGGGGAAGGCCGCTAATTAAGGCTTTATAGTAGTGTAGTTAATCACTACGTCACTGAGTCTGCTGCTGAGCTTGATAAAATAAGTTATTATTATTATTCTTCAATTATAGATGTATGTAGTCAGAGACTATGACATCTATCTGAGAACTTTTAGTTCTCAGGATTTTTCCTATATCTATAAAGTTAACTATTATACATTTATCAATTTCAGATATGTAAAATCAGAAAATTCCAGCCTAGAATATAAAAACTGTTTATAAATTACAGTATTTTAACATCTTCTGATACTTTGAAATCATTTGATAATATCATGATAAAAGAAAAGAGAGCACAGTCTTAAAGATAGATATATTAAATAGATAGATAGAAAAGAATAAAAAAAAAAATAAAAGAAAAAGTAAAGTAAAGAGAGACTATAATAAATTAAAATTATTAAAAGATAGTATATAGCTGTTTTAATAAACTATATCTAATCAATTTTCATCTCTTCATATTCAGGTATTTCTGAGTTTAGCTGTTTTCTTATAGCTGCTTGAGTTTCTGATAGAAAGTCTATTAGATATTTAATTTCTGTCTCAGTTGAGAATAAGAATCTTATATTTAATTGATTTAAATTATACTTCTTCTTCAATCTGACTCTGAGACTATTATATAATGCATAATATATTATAATATACTCAGAATTTTCATTTATATTGCAGAATAAGTATTCTGTTGAATCAAATCTATTATTAAATCTTTGTATATAAGATTTGAAGTAATCATATTCTAGTTTCATCTGAATTATAGATGAGAATATTTTCTTTTTATATTTAATTACATAAGATTTTTACTTAAATTTTATCTTAAATCTTGAATAATGTATACTCTTCTTTTATTTCTGTCAGCTTTCATTTTACTTATTTAAATAAGATTCTTTTATCTTTCTCTTTATAAAAGACTAGAATACTGTTTTTTGAATAGATCTGCTTAATTCTGAACTCTTGTTTACTGTTGAATTAGTCAATTCATTGTCATGAATATTTATATAAGCAGGAACTTAGTATAGATGAATTATCAGTTTTAATAATCTTCTCTTTTAAATCTTTATAACAGAATTTAAAATCAGCTCAAGATTCATTTGATTATTATAAATCTGACTATTTTTAAGTCTTTTCAAAGCTGCTTGACTATCAGAGAATATTTATATCTCTTTCAAGTTATTTTCTCTTTTATAAGATTTTATCTTAATCAGTTTGAAAGCTTTTACTATTATAAATAGTTCAGCATCAAAGACTTCAGATTCACAGCTTAAATTTCAGAAATCTGAGATGAAATTAATATTATCTTCAGTATAAGCAATGTCTGCATCTAATCTATTTAAACTCTTATTTTTTAAGTCATCTGAGTAAATTATAATAGAGTCTTTTATATTGATTATAGAGATCTTCTTTAAATACTGTTCATATTCTCTCTCTTTAGATAGTTCACTTATTTATAAGTCTATGAGAGATTTCAGCTTTTCTCTTCAGAGAGATATCTTCTCATGATTAATTTTCTCAACATTTAATAAAGAAAATTGATTTTTAATCAGTGAATATAGTCTATACAGTTGAGAAAGCATTTTCTTTGATATATTATTCTCATTTCAATCAAGAAATCTATTTCAGTTCAGTTCATTTTCTAAGTTAATTGATAGAAATGAAGAAGAGACTCTTTCTCTGATTATATGATTTAAGCTCATCTTCATGACTCTCAGAACATAGTTTATGCAGATCTTTTCAAATCAAATAGTAGAAGATAAAATTGAAGCTTTAATTTTCATTGCTTTAATAGAAGATAATTTAAATACTTTGAGAATTCTTCTCAAAGCTCTATTTTACAGACTGAAAGAGTTCAGTGAAATTATCTTGATTATTTCATTAAACTTGAACTCTACAATCTGCTACTGAGATAATACAGACTATATATAATTATCTCATAGTCTGAAAGAATAGATCTCTCTCAGTATTTAATAGTCTGATTACACTATTTAGTAGTCTCTCTGTCTTGATAATTCTTTGTTGAATATGATATTTAAAATTCAACTTGAAGTTTAATCATACTTCTAGTTATTTAACATTCAAACTGGGTTTAATCTCTTTATTCAAAAGAGTTAGACTTAGATTTTTCTTATTAAATCTTGAAAAAAAGTGAATTAACTCAGTTTTATTCATATTAAATTGAATTAGATTGATATCTACTCTAACAAAGATTTTTTTTACTGCTTTTTCAATCACTTTTAAATTCTCTTTGATTATCTTTGAACTGTAGACTAGATTAATATCATCTATATAACTTGAAGATCTGTAATGTGGCGGAACTGAAGCAGTGACTAGTCAGTGACATTATATAGAGATAGTTATTGAGAAGCTGTATAAGTGAGCTTAACTATCTTGCTTGAATAGTGAGCTCATAGACTACAGAGTTATTGCAAGAATATCACAGATATAATACTTAGTATACTAAGAAGATTGTATAAGACACATAGTAACTCTTGTATATATTTCAGTAGAAGAAAAATGAATCACTGACTTCTTTAATGAGAAGTCAGTATCTAGTTATTTTATATAGATAATAAGTGAATACTCTTCTCTTATTTCATGAGTGAGAATAGCTGAAGTGATATCTTAGCAGCATCTCATTATCAAGAAAGAGTAATCTACTGACCTTGTATAAAAGCGAGATTCTTATATTTATTAATCAGATCTTTCTATGATATATCTGAATAATATTATAGAGTGATTGAAAACTAGTTCAGACAGAATGAAATTATCTATATAAAAGTAATGAGCTGTATGAAATTACAATGAGATCTTAACATAGTTAAGAGTATGATAATACTCTTCTCTTTAAGAGTATAGTCTCTATACTCTTAAGATTATCAGATTAGAAATTATCTTTGTTATATAGCAATGATTATTAACTGATTAACAGTGTATATACTGTGTGTGATATAAAGAAATAGATGAGTTTTTCTACTGACTGTGTAGATCTTTCTTTCTCATCTTTATTCAAATTAAACATGTGTGATTCAAAGGTTGCTTAAGCCAGCGTATAATTACAGGCGTACGCCGGCTTCTTATATATTGTAATATCATACACTAAATTAATTAGTGGCTGCTATGACCTTCTTTACATTTGTATGCTAGTAGTTTGAAAGCAGCTGTGTTATTATTCAACAGTTATATGTTCTTTCAAATCACATTCTCTCTCAC